GTGTATGTGTGCTAAAGCAGAGTGCGCTGGCCACAAATAAGTGCCAAGTTCACAAAATAGGTGCCAAGTCCAATAACTGAAGTACTCTCTCTCCCCCCAAATAGCACACAAAGCAAAAAGTGTCTGCTCCTAAACTGTAGATCAATAGATTGTCCTAGAAGCTCGTTTGCACACCAGGCAATATACAGGCTGTGAGTTTCTTGAGAGAACCAGAATCTCCTCCACATACACAGAACCAGACGGCATCTATCATAGCAGCTGATAGTTGTGATTATTACTATTATTTTCCATAAATTCCCTTGTGGGATCTGCTGATTTGCATCATGCTAAGCACTTGTAATTAGCCAATGAAAGATTTGGGGCTAAGCTAGTTTAAAAAAAAAATATCTGAGGCCAAGATGATGGAATGTATACAGCAATTCCATCTCATATGCTGAGTACTTTCAGCCAAAGTGGCTTTTTCTCGAGATGTGTTTATTAAAATCACATGGACTATGTTTTGTTGTGGCATTTAGTCATCTTAGACAACTCTACAAATATGCCATAAAAAAAAAAAAGAAAGCAAACAGGGGCAAAGTAATTCTGACGAATCACGAGGCACGCTCTTAGCAATAAGTTCGTTGCCAGGAGGATTCCTTGAGAATGCCAACCTTCATTGTGTTGATCTAGAAGGAAAGAACTTTGAAAACAGACCTCCCTTCCCCCCTTAGATTTCCCTGTCAAGATACATGAAAGAATTCAAACTAATCAAAAAGCCCAAGTGAGCTGGCTGGTTAACTAGGACAGGCCCAACCTTGAGTTCAGAGAGATTTCTAATGCGTTCCACCGGGCCCTGCAGACAACCATGTTTACGGGATGTGACAACTGCAAAGGAGGCGTGCCTCTAAAGAGAATGATGATCATAAGGTAGCCGAAATGGCATCTCCTGGAAATTTTGCTCCACACTGAAAACATGGTCCCTCTTTTTTTTTTTTTTTTCAAGATTTTATTTATTTGACAGAGAGAGACACAGCGAGAGAGGGAACACAAGCAGGGGAAGTGGGAGAGGGAGAAGCAGACTCCCCGCTGAGCAGGGAGCCCGATGCAGGGCTGGATCCCAGGACCCTGGGATCATAACCTGAGCCGAAGGCAGATGCTTAACAACTAAGCCACCCAGGTGCCCCAACATGGTACTCTTTATTTTTTCTAGAGAAGTGTACTCTTGATCCCCTTTATCTATTTCACCCCCTTCCTCTCCCCACCACACACACACCATCCCTCTGGCAACCACCAGTTTATTTGCTGTATTTAAGAGTCTATTTCTCGGTTGGTCTCTTAAAACATTGTCACTCTTAATAAATCACTCCATGCTCAAGATGCTGAATTTCTTTCTTCCTTTTTTTCCCCCCCAGTTAAAAAAGCTGTTTATTCATCATGAGAGTAGTAGCCAGCAACACCGTGAAGACCTGAAGCAGTCAGCCCTTGAAGGTCTTTATAATCTGGTCCCACCTTACCCATCCAAACTTAGCATGCCATGGATCCTCTTTGCCTGCCTCCCCCTGCTCCACCACCACCCGTTCCTCCCCGACACACACAGGTTGTGATCATCCCTGCCTCCATCTACACTGCCACCCTGTCTGGAACTATGTGCCCTTCCCACCATCTTGCCAATCCATCAAGGTCCCATATATTCTCCATGAAGTCTTCCCCGATGGCACCAGCCAACATTGCTCTTTTCCTTTTCTGATTATCCCTCCACCTTCTGTGAAACAAGGCATAGAAATTACACTGTCTTTGGACTTCCATCTTGAATATTCTGAGGTTATCTCTCAGCTAAAGGGCGCCATGGCCCTTCAGCAAGGACTAGTGACTCCCCTGTTTGGTATGGGGGCGGGGAAAGAATGGAACAGTGTGCATTTAGCCAACCCAGTCTCAACCGTCCACCATGGCCGTGGTTGGTACTAGAACTTAAGTTTACATTGTCTCATATTATCCAACCGTAGGTAGTTCCATGTTCTTATGGCTGTCCCGATAAGATGTTCAGATTTTAAAGGGATACACTGTTGAAGTTATAGAGAGAAATAACAGTAAAAGATGTCACTGAAACTTATAACCAGTCATTCTACAGGGGCCCCTCAAGTTGATCTTTCATTCCTGGGGTTGGTTTGACTTCCAAAAGATGATTTTAAGTGATGCATTCAGGATGTGTTTTCTCATAACCATATGCATAAATAATACGCATCTGTGTATATGTTCTATACATATATAATCTATGAATAAACCAGATTAATAATTCATTTGCAACTGAAGACACTCTTTCCCAGAAACTATACCCCCAGGGCGACCTCCACAAGATACTTCCTTCTGAATAAAGGATGGGTAAGAAGCTTCGTTAGTGTTCAAGAAGTTGCCTGGTGAGCATGAAATCAGAAACTCTCCTCCCCTTCTTTCCACTGGTTAAAACTGCTCTGGGCCTGTTGCTTGCTGGCTGGACTGCCCTTAAGTAAGTTCTCAGTCTTCCTATGCCTTGGTTTTCCCAGCTTTAAATGCAAATAGTACCTAACCTATAGGACTGATGTAAGAAGTGCTTAGAACAGTAAGTAGCACCCACTAAGCACTTATTCAATGTCAGCTTTTTATGTTTATTACTTCTACCTTTTCACCAGTACTTTAGAAATATCATTTCCTTAACAATGCAAGAGCCCTAATGGAATAATGAAGCCCATATTGATTTTTTTTAACCTTTAGAGATTATTCTAAATCTTGGAGTACCAAGATGCATCTCACTTAGGATGTCTGATTGTGTAAAATATATCTACCTTTTTCTCTTTCTCTTCACTTATACAACCACACCAAGGAGTGAATTCCACTCCTGCTTCAACTCTTGTTCTTAATTTTTATTCATCAGGCCATATATATACAGAAGGCCAAGTGTATATGAATACAGCAAGTGAAGCCCCATAGCCTGGAGGCCTTTGGATAAAGCTTTATGCACCATCACTTCTTACAAATTCTCCCCCTCCCCACCCCGCCACACACACACACAACTCCCCCACCAAAAAGACAAAAAAACAAAAACAAAACAAAAAGAATCTGTCTGTGATTCCATTCTCCCGGGACAGACTTGGAGGCCCTGGAAGAAGGTGAGGCATGATTGACACACGGGAAAGGCAGGTGGCCTCAAGACTGCTGGAGGCTCGACCTTCTAGATGATTCATCAAGTTGGTGGCTCGCCCTGCCCTTCTTCAGGGCCCAGGGGGACACCCTGTCCAAGTGAAGGAGAAGCCTTTGTTTTGCTGATGTTTCTCATTTGAGAATAAGCTGGGGGACTGGTACTTTTCCCGTATGGCCCACATGGAAAACGGTTTGCCTCTTCCTGTTGTTGTTAACACTAAAGAAGAGGCCACACCAACCTTAGTTTCTATGGGATAAAAACGTGAATGGGGATTTCTTTTTTTTTTTTAAGCTTTTCATTCTCTTCAAGGTGCACCCAGGTCCCAGGTGGGGAAGGTAGTGTAGAGCAGTCTGGGACAGCTGGGGGAGAGGAACCAGCTCTCCTCCTAGTGAAGTATCCAGAGCCCACCCTGCACCCCATGCCCTTGACTAGAATTTCTCCTCCTTCCCTCCCTGGTCGTTTTACTGGCTGTGCCCAAAGTTGAGGCCAAGAGAACAGAATCAAGACCTCCTTCCTTCCCTCTTCTCACCCTCCCCCTCTCATTAATGGCTCTTCCTCCACCCCTCCTCCAAGATGCCAACCTATCACCCACGGACTGACCAAAACCCGCTAAAGCAGTGCAATGTTAGAATGCGTGGAACAGAAGGGTTTCCAGCATCAGGAGAAGAGGGATACAGAATAGGGGGGTGGGGGGGTGGTGGGAATAGGAATTTCCACATTTTTTTTTTCTTCAAGGGAAAAAAAAATGTCTCTCTGGGCGAGCAACCATCTCCTGGGAGGGAAAACCCACAATTTCCCCAGGTAGCACATTCCAGAGAATGAAGGAATCGTCGGGAGATGCTGGATGGGGACCACAGAAATACACCGCGCTTAAATACAATGAAGGGAGTTGTTTACAATCGTCTGTAAGATGCCAAAGGGTTGAACAGTCAGTCATAAGCGCTCCCAGCTGGTTCTATGGCGTTACTGTCTTTTCCTGCTGGAAGAGCTCAAGCAACACGGTGACTTGCCCAAGGTCACACAGCACGCTTGGGACAGAAACAATTCTGACTCCTTCTTCCTGGCTGTAACTCAGCAGACAAAGCCACCTTATTACTGCACGATCATTCAAATCTGAATCATTTAAATTGCTCCTAATTGCAGGCTTAGAGGGAACCGTCAAGTCCATGTGACTAACGACCGCGGTAGGAACGGCCAAAGTTTTCCAAACTCCTGCATATGGGATTAAAACACCGTCCTCCCCCTGGGGTGGGGATAGGGGAAAAAGTGTTTGAAAGCTCGACCTTGAAACTGCCAACCAGTATCATATTTAGATTTTTTTTTTAATAAATTTGAAGCATCACCTCTGATTTTTAGTATCAGAACAGAGAAGCACTTGGGATTCAAAGGGATGCCATTCAGAACGGCATTCCAGGGGAACTCTCAAATATTTTCCAAGCAGTCGATCGATCTTCACACTCTTCTTTCTTACGCCCACCAAAACACTGTCTCAGCATTTAAATTTCCTTTTTGCCTCTTTTATAGGCAGCTATTTGGGAGGGGGTGGGTGGGAGGAGGGAGCCGCGGAAGCCACCGGGCTTGTAAATTCAGATCTGTCCACGGGGCTGGACACGTGCTGTGCTCAGGAAAGAAAGTAAATTCCAATCTGCCAATTGCTCTAACTGATTCATTTGTCTGCACAGAGACGCCACCTACCTGCTCGCAGGTATTCAGGTAAATGACAGGTGGGTGGGACCTGTACTGACTGTTTCAATAGCTAAAGTCCCAGCAATGTTTTATCTGTGAGGCTCCTGTGATGTCACACATTTCCTGCTCTCGACCAACCAATGCCCTCCTCCTTCCTTAGCTACCTGTGCACCAGGGTTGAGCCTGGTCACTGCTCTGGCAGCCCCAGGAGCTGCTGGATTCACCCACAAGGCATGGGACCTGCGGAGCTGCTGCTGCCTTGAGAGCCCCAGACACACACTCGGAAAGGTGAGTTGAAACCCTCCATTCTTCTCTTCTGGCATTTGGACCCCTGGCCCCTGAGGGATCTGAGTGAGGAATTTGAACATAAAAATAAAAGCTGAATGGCTTAGCCCGGGTGTGTGTCCCACGGGGAGAAGCCCTTTTGAGAGGGAAGAGCAGAGAGATGCCTTGACATTTTGGTTGCACAGGAAAATTCTCCCAGGCCAGATATTTAATCCTTTTTGTTTCTCTTAATCATTAAGCCAGCCGCTGCTTGTCTAGGAAGTTGATCTGATTTTTTTTTTTTTTTTAACCCTGGAGTGGAGTGCAGTGGAGACTTTTCTGAAACTGAACTCAAAGGTTCAGACCTGTTCAGCCCGCTTAATGGGGGTTGGGTGGCCAGCGCCGAATGAATTCAGAGTTGCCTTATTTTTGCCTCATTTGCCTTATTTGGCCTTACTTCTCTGCATTTGTCTCACCAGAGGCAATTTCCATCTGAACCTGTGAGATGACCTTACATTTTTTTCCCCCCAGAAGTGCGGTCCTCAGACGGGTAACTTCTGCTGCCCTCCTCGGAAGCCCTGCACTCATTTTCCTCCCTCTTTCTTCTCTAAAAAAGTCTACTGTTTTCTTTGTTCTTTGTTGACGCTCTTAAAAACCACTTTGCAGTCCGGATTAGAACTGTTTACATCCAGACCTGAACTGGCTGCCTGCTGACCTTTGGTTAAAGTAAAGATTATTTCCTCCATGCTTAACATTGGAGAATGAATGTAACTTCAGGTCTGATTTTTAATTTTTTTCCAATTCTTCCACTTTTTTTTTTTTCTCTTTTAATAGCAAATATACCGAAGACATTGTTCTGCCAGGACCTGACATTTTTTTTTTTTCAAGTAATTTTACCTGTAGGATCCATTTTTGTTTTCTTAATCCTGATCCCACAGCCTGTACTACTTCTGTTCTTGACAGCCCAAGAGCCACACTCCACAGCCAGCACTGTCCTTAGAGAAAGGAAAATAAACCCAGTCCCCTGCTAGGATGAGCTGGAAACTGTAGAGGGAGAAATGAACCAGCCAGGGGACATTTCATTCTGGATTCCTTCATCAGTTACTTTTCTGAGATCTCAGTTCGCAAAGATCTTTGCAAAGGAATAGCCTGTTAGGAGTTACGCTCCTATTCATCCACCCTGAAATTGAAGGTGTGTGTCAACTCTCCAGAAGGAAAAATTGAAACAATCTGAGAAAAGTTTTGTCTCAGACCTTTGCTTCTTACCACTAGAAATCCGCCCGGGCCTTGTTGCCAATTTCTCTCTCCCTCCTTGGAGGCTTGTATTGTACTCTCCCTGACCTTTGTCTGTTCTTTTCCCCCAAATGGTGTGTTTGGTTGGTGGCTACGAGGTTGTCCCCTACTAGTCTTCTCACTTGATTCAGAGCTTTGTCAGTAGAAGAAACAAAAAGATCTCTTCGATCCTGAATCTTTCTGGAGAGAAATGTGTCTTTAAAGTCACAAACCTCTCCACAAGATGTATTCCCTCTGGGTTACCATGGTCTGTTAGCTCTTTGCACAGTAGTGAAGTTATGACTAAATACATCATTTCGTCACTGTATGTCAGGGTCCCTGGCTACTAAAGGAACAAAGCTGTGCGTGCTATGCCCCCAGATAGAAGAAAGGAAAAAAATTACAGAGACTGGAATCCAGAGCCAGGTTATGTAGAATGTACTTGGTCTCTTGGATAATTTACACACAAGTATTGTCCAAAGGGGTGAAAGACCCACAGTCATTCCCTGCCTGTACTTACGCCATCTCTCGGTTCAAGTGACAATAAATAGGGCCTGATTGGAAAACATACAATGTCTTCCATTTACATTCATGAACAAGTTACTCAACTTCTCAGACCCTCAGTTTCTTTTTTTTTTTTTTTTTTAAAAAATTATTTATTTGACAGAGACACAGCGAAAGAGGGAACACAAGCAGGGGGAGTGGGAGAGGGAGAAGCAGGCCTCCCGCCGAGCAGGGAGCCCGATGCGGGGCTCGATCTCAGGACCTTGGGATCATGACCTGAGCCGAAGGCAGACACTTAACGACCGAGCCACCCAGGCACCCCAGACCCTCAGTTTCTTCATCGGTAAACAGGAGACAATCCCTATGATACGAAGTGACCATGAGATGTAAGTAAGGTAACATGCTGAGAGCGTCGGGCGACCAATGTCTGGCTTTACATGGGCGCCAAGTAAAGGTGCAGTCCGTTCTTAAAGGAATTTTCCTGGGTGCTTGGCAGAGATAGTTTGACCCAACGAAGATAAAAGATCTTCTGTGGTTGCAATCATTAGGAACCCTGATAGTTCTTGTTATAGTTATTAATTGTACATAATTAACTCCAACGTTAACAGTTCAGAGAAAGAAAACAAGCAGGAGGCAGGAGCTTAAACTGTGTCACACAAGCCAGGCAGACCGGTCTCTGCCAGCTCCCAGACATGCTTAGGAGTTGCTGGCCACTGCTGTTCCTCCTGCCTTTCCCGCCCCAAAGCCCTCATGCCACAGTAGGCCCACCGAATGTGGTCCTCCGCAGGCCTGCAGGGGGAATGTCCTGTTGTCATTTGCTGTAATCTGACTTGGCAGGCGGCCCTTTCTGCTTTCAACTGTGCTCTCTCTCCAGGGCAGACTGGGTGCCTGGTTTCCTCCAGTCTTGCAGATAAACACCCTTGGCCGCAGCCTGGTGAGCTGCCGTGTCAAGTCACCAGGACGAGGAGGAGGTGGCCGGTTGGGAGACTGCCCTGCGCTGGGGAAGGCGGCTTGTGGCTCCCTTGGAGGTGATTGCCTCACTCATGGAATATCCCATGCCGTTGGATGACCTTGAGGCATTGCGTAAGAGCAGAAGTGTTCCCAGGCTCCTCTAAGTCTCACCGTACCCTGAAAAGCTAAGGCAAGTTTTCGTCATTCACGAGCAGATTGAGGACAGAGGTTCACAACCTCAACCCTACTACTGACGTGCTTAGGGGTTCCTGGGGAAGAACCTCAGCCTCCCTGCCCATCCGTTTCCTTGTCTATTTGCCTTTTCTTTAGAATAGCATCAGATTGCCTGGGTTCAAAAGCCAGCGCTCCCTTACACTAGCAGTGTGGCCTGTGGAGGTGATTTAACCCCCTTTACCTCAGCTGGAAAATAGGCTTATTATGAGGAAGAAATGAGTGAAATGTCTAACGTGCTTAGAACACTTCCTGGCACAATGCGAGCTCTTGTTAGTATTATTTTTTTAAAGGAAGGTAGAATCAGACAGATCTGGGTCTGAGACCCGGTTCCACCGTGTAATTAACGTAAGTCCCTTAGTGCCTCTTTGTCACATGTGGCCTCATCTGGAAAGTGGAATACTTCCCAAACCCAGTGCTGCTGTAAGAAATAAACATGAAACAGTTTCATGTAAAGTGCCTGGTCTACATACAGTAGGTGCTCAATAAATGGTAACCCTTGTTAGGTTAGTACGGGCGTATGTCTGGTTACATGCGGGCATACTTGGCTTGATTGCATTCTGCAGATATTGCATTTTTTTACAAATGGAAGGGTTGTGGCAAGCCTGCCTCCAGCACGTCTATCAGTGTCGTTTTCCCAACAACATTTGCTCCTTCGTGTCGCCGTGTCACATTTTGGTAATTCTCACAGTATTTCAAAATTTTCATTACTGTTGTATGTGTTATGGCGACCTGTGCTCAGTGATTACGACTCACTGGAAGCTCAGATGATGGTTAGCATTTTTGAGCAATAAAGGATTTTTAAATTAAGGTATATACATCGCTTTTTTAGACATAAGGCTATGGCACACGTAATAGACTATGGTAGCATGTAAACTTTTATATGCACTGGGAAACCAAAAAATTCACTTGACTCGCTTTATTATGATATCTGCTTTATTGTGATACTCGCTTTATTGCGGTGGTCTGGAACTGAACCTGAACTGTCTCCAAGGTGAGCCTGTAGAGGAAACAATTATTATATTGGTTAAAATTTGACTTAGCAGGTCATTCTACAGTTTGGACATAATAGTGTTGGAAACAGTAGTCAGTGGAGGGCCAAAGACTCTTTGAGAAAAACAGATTTCCCCAAAGACCCCCAAAGGTTTAGAAAGAAAACCTGTTAACAAAGATGATCTTGTTTATCTTGGAGCTCCATGGTAGGGTAGCTGCCCGTCGAAAGGCCTGGTCTTCTGCAGACCTGTGGCGGGAGGATTCTGTGATGTCAATAAACAGTGGGTTCTCCCAGAGCAGTGATGCCCAGCTTCCTGGCTTCCAGTGTCTCCCTTTTGGATGTGAATTCCTCAGTTGGAGTGGAGAAAATAGGGTCCGCTGCTGAGATTCTGACTACTTGAAAGGCCATTCTTGTAAGATGCTGCCAAGAGAGGACATATGAGAGAGGCTCTGAAATGTGTCCTCCTCATCACCTCAGTATTCATGGATCTCCTGGAGGTGACACATAACTATTCCTGATATTTATGTGCTGGCATCGCGTAGACTTGCTTTTATGTGGGTGGCACATTTATGGTTCTCTGACAGTGCCTCCAAACTGTCAAGGGCTTTTCAAAACTATTTGGAAGGAAGACTACATCTCTCTTTCTGGGTTAATGTGATTTAGCCATCTGTGATCCCCAAAGAATAAGGGTTAACATGAAAACCAGACAAGTTGTTAAGTATAAAAACAGCACTTAGCTGAAATCAGAAACCAAGAATGTCAGTTGCCTCCTGTAAACCCCTTACACTCACCATTTCCTCTTACCTCATTTTGTTCTAAGTGAACAAAGACACCACAGTGACCTATTGCTTAGTTACATGGAGAGGCCTCACAGATCAATATAAGAAAGAACTTTCTAAGAATGAGAGCTGTCCAAAAATCCAGTAGGTTGCCTTTTGGGGTACTGACTTCCCTGTCACTGAAGGTGATTGTTTTTTGGTATATTTGTTTATTTGGTATATTTGTATGTGCCCGGTATGCATTGCTAAATGAATGAATGAAGGCCAAAGAGAATTTGTGTTTCTTTAGCGAC